AAACCCCATGGGGTCACCATTAGTATGTTATATATATATATATATATATATATATATATAATTCTATATGTATTAATTATATATTTACATAGATATTGACTTACTGTATTGTAGCTGTTAATCCATTTAGGTGTGTAGGGTAAATCACAAAATCAAGTAAATCAAGTAATGAGTAATTAGATGACATTTCAATTTATTTTCTTTGTTGATCGATCATTTCAAGTGGCCAGTTCCCGCTTCTGAGTTCTGAGTCTGCCACTCCGCCTCCCGTTCTCTCAAGACTCCAAATGATTGTCCACCTTCAATCCTTCATCATCGCTTCAGTGCTTCACTTACATGTCATCGCCGATCTCCGTAAGCCCATCCTACGTCGTCGACTCTTTAGTCGTTGACTCCTTAGCCATCGATCCCTTCATCAGTGATTCCTTAGGGTGCAATCCCTTTCTCATCTCACTCAAGTCAGGTTCATATAACATCTTCTGATCTTAGTTCATCTCGTCTAATCCTTTTTTATTTACTTCAGTAGACAGTATAACATCGATTATCTATGATTGAATATAACATTGGTTTTTAATCGTAGGCATTTTGCCAGGAAGTTGGTGGGCTCATCATGAATTAGGTCGGGGTGGCTGGTGGTTTCGGGATCCCGAGGAAAATGCTTCTTTTATGCCTCGGGTATTAGATACAGCTCGTATTCATTCATTAATTTTACCTCTTATTCATTATTGGACCTCGTTTCTGAATATTGTGGCTCTTCCATGCTCTGTCTCAAGAACCTCTTCAGTACGGTCCGGATTGCTAGCTCCCGTTCATAATTTTGCTTCAGATGATACACGAGGAATCTTTTTATGGTGGTTCTTCCTTCTAAAGACCGACATATCTATGATTATTTTCTCCCAGATGAAGCAGCGGGATTCGGTCCGTAGAACCTATAAAAAAGAGATGGTTGTGGCACGAAGTACTCTTGTGCACCTACGTCACTCGGCTCACGCGCAACCCAGCCCCGTTATGTTATAGAAGAATTGAGCTTCTTGTTGGGTTGGTTATTCAGAGCCAGCAATTGGTTGTCTTCTGAAAATTTATTATCTTCAAATTAGTTGCTCGATGTTTGATTCATCTGTTCACCGGTTCATCTATTTCATTGAATATAAACATTAGTTTCTTTTAAATTATTGAAATTTTTTGGTGTTATTATGTTCCTGATCATCTTTTTGATTCAAATATAGTTAATTTGTTAGTGTTAGTGTGTTCCTGTAATCTGTTCTTGAACTTTGTTAGTGTTAGTGTTAGTAGTGGTTAATTTGTTAATGTTTAATTATGTGTTAGTATGTTCCAATAATTTGTTCATCTTTTTTATTCAAATACAATTAATTTATTAGTGTTAGTGTGTTCCTATAATATGTTCTTGAAGTTTGTTAGTCTTAATGTTAGTTGTGTTTAATTTGTTGAATGTTTTCTAATGTTCTGAAAAAATCAATTTGAGGCTTCAAATATCATGTCTTTGGCTAATCAAACTCAGCCACATGATTCAAATACGGTTCATGGTATCGCTAATGCTACTGATCAGGTTGCAGAAAATGATAAAAAAAGAAAACTAAGATCCCCGACATGGGCTCATTACGAATTGAAAAAAAATTAAAGGAATCGAAAAGGTGGTTTGCATTTATTGCAAAAAGGCATTAACTTACAATAGCAACACTGGAACAAAAGATTTTTTGGGTCACCAAAATACATGTAAAGCAAGGAAATCTCAAAAAAGAATTGATGATTTTCAAAGTCGTTTAGTTGGAAAAAAGTCTAAGACGGATGAAAGTGGGGGATCAGTTTTAGCAACCCATTGTTTTAATTATGAGGATTCATGAATGGATCTTTCTAGGATGATAGCGCATCATGACTACCCAGTTCATATTGTTGAACATGAAGGCTTTGGAGTTTTTTGTCAAGGGATTCAACCATTATTTATGTCTATTACTAGAAACACTGCTAGGAGTGACGTCTTGAAATTTTACGACGAGGAAAAGGAAAAGATAATGTAATTCTTGGGGGTATTCAAGGTCGTATTGCAATAACTACCGATATGTGGACTTGCAACAACCAAAGAAAATGATACATGACCGTCACATCCCATTTCATTAATGATTCATGGAAATTGCAAAGCCGACTTTTAAGGTAATTACTAATTTATAGCTATATACGCTTAATATAATATGTTTTCATTACTAAGTTCAATTTAATTTGTTGATTGGTAGGTTTATATATGTGCCTTGTCCCTACATTACAGAGAAGCTATCAGAGGTGTTGTTAGATTGTTTGATGGACTGGAACTTAGATAAAATTATCAACTTTAATTGTTGATAATTGTTCAACAAACGATTGCATGATTGAACTGATGCGTAGCACCCGATTTCTGGTATGTATTTAATTTCTTGAAATGTTGCAATTTACTCTGGGACTCGGCGAGTTGAAGGCCCAACTCGTCGAGTAGACTCGACTGTCGATCGGGCGATTAAGTGACCTACTCGACGAGTCGGAAGACCGACTCGACGAGTAGGAGCTGTCTGGACAAAACCCTAATATTTAGGGTTTGCACCCTATTTAAACAGCTTATCTCGTTCCAACCCAACCTCCGTCACCCTCCCAACTCATAGAAACCCTAGATTGAAACCCTAAACCATTTTTGAGTAATTTTGAGCTCTTTTGTGCCTTTTGTGTGTGTTTGA